CAGCTCCTCCCCCCTGTCCAGCCCAAAGCTTCCTCGAGCCGGCCGGGCCACGCCCTCCCACAGCCCCTCGGCCACGCCCCCCGGCTCCCCCTCCATTCAGAGCAGCAGCACGCCCTGGAAGTCACGCCTACACACCATCAAGAACAGCTTCCTCGGCTCGCCTCGCTTCCACAGGCGGAAAATGCAAGGTGAGGAGAGGGGTCGGGAGGGGTGGAAGGAGCGAGGTCGAGAGGGAGGAGGAGGAGGAGTAGATGGAGGAGGAGGAGGAGGAGGAATCGCCAGAGTCAAAGGAGGTGGGGCTTACGATCTACTTGTCTCCGAAGATTTTTCTCACACTTCTCGTATTAGCGATTTCTTAAGGTCTGTCTTGGCCCTCAGTTCTGAAGATGGTCGTAGCACTAGAAGTAGTACTAGTACCAATGTTCCTTATTTTCTCCCTCCTCATCAAGCCAACAAATTTGATTCTCCTAGCTTGACTCACCATCCTCCTAATTATTCAGCCACTACGGGTGCAGGTTACTACGGCAACGGCGGCGGCGACAGCGGTTGCCATGGCAACGACGTCTGCAGCAGCATCAGCAGCAGCAACGGAAGCGGCAGCAACAGCGGCAACAGCAGCGGCGTGACGTCACTTCCGACAGGGCCTCCCGACTACAAGGACGTCATGGCGGCTAGGAACGGTTACGCCGGCACATCTTCCCCCTCGACGACAAGACAACACGGACACAGCAACAACAGCAGCAGCAGCAGCAGCAGCAACACTGGAGAATTTTCTGGAAGCCATATCCAGAAGGAGAACAACATCTTCAGCATCGGGTCCCGTGCGGGTGGGGTCAACGACCGGGGGTATCTCTCTCCGCCAGCCTCTCCCAACCTCAGCGTCCGAAGCAACAACCACAGCAACCACCACAGCCACTACAGCAACAACCACAACAATCAGAGAGATAGAGATCGGGATCGGGAGAGTTTGATACCCCTCGCCTACCCCCACCACCACCACCACCAGCACGCCCGCACCAACAACCACTCTTCCTCGTCGACAACATCATCATCATCATCATCATCATCATCCACGACGTCGACCTCACCACCGTCCCCCGCTCCAGCGATGGCCTCCACCTCACCGCCATCAGCAGGCTACTACTACAACAACCACCACCACCACCAACAACAACAACAGCAACAACACCACAGCCAGCACAGGGCAGACTTCAACCCTTCTGTAAACCCAACAGCCGTGAGAGATAGAGACACAATCAACGTAATACGACCCGGAGCCTACGCTAGTAACAACCATAGTGGTGGTTGCGGTGGTGCTGCTGCAGCTGCTGCAAGCAGCCACTCCTACAACCACAGTCACAACACCGCAGCTTCTGGGAGTAACAACAGCAGCAACAACAACAACAGCAGCAGCAGCAGCAACAATTCTGGTGCAAGAGAGAGGGAGTTTCTATCGATGAGGAACAGCATTCTAGGCTCACCCCGCTTCCATCGGCGGCACATCCCTGGTCAGTTTTTCTGAGTTTTCCCGGGGACTAAAAAGCAAAATTGTGAGGCATGCTGACAAAATGAGTTACTTCTCACAATCCACAAATGGAGATATTGGCCAAAATTCCACATTAGGGTCAAATTTGTAGGTTTTCTATGGATGCTATATTCTTTCACTATAGCTTACCTGTCTTTTATTATTTCATTCTCATAAATTGTAAAAACTTCACGTATAACTATAAGCGTGATGTATCAATCAATTTCCATGAGGCTTGAATCCGAGACGTAACTCATTTTGTCAGCACGCTTCTCAATTAGTTTTGTTTTGTTTGAGCATACCTTTGGGGAAAGGGGAGTGGGGGGGGGTTGCTATTTCTTATTTCACTGTAACACCCGACTACTCATGGAGATATGATAGATAAGATCAGATACGATAAACATTTTTGATCCCCAAGAGAGAGAGAGAGAGGGAGAGAGAGAGAGAGAGAGAGAGAGAGAGAGAGAGAGAGAGAGAGAGAGAGAGAGAGAGGGGTGGGAGTTAGAGGGATAAAAAGCTTTAACTAATTGTACTTTAACTTGGACCTCTACTCGACACTGCTAAGAGTAAGCAAACAAACAAGCAAACAAACAAATACACTAACTCTTTCTCTCCTGCTTTGTCTGTCTGTCTGTCTGTCTCACTCTCTCTCTCTCTCTCTCTCACACACACACA